TCATTTTGCACTGATACAGCTGGAGAACACAGGTAGGTACATATTCTCCTCTCAAAAAGTATTTTCATTTTTATAATTTAGGGTTTATCTTCTTTGTAAATACAAATAGATACTGAAGCCAATCACTTGAAGTATTGGAAAATCGCAAAGTAAACTTTAAATATCAACTGCCAAATCTTATGTATGAGCAATGCCTTATTTATATAATATATATATTATACACATTTAAAAAAAAAAATTAAATAAGGATAAATAGTTGAAAATATAATAATAATAATAATAATAATAATAATAATAATAATAATAATAATAATAATAAGCCAAATTTGTTAAGGCAATGATGTAGAAAAAAATACATTTTTTATTGATTTTTTTGTGAGGATTTAATTTTTCATGTATTTATGCATTAATTGATTCATTGATCTGACTGGTTAATTGATTGCTTACCTTGGCCCCAACTTCTACTGAGGGTGTGAAAATTCTTGGCTGTCTTGTACTGTATGACATGTATTGGACATCATCATAGTTTATGAGTACTTAAAAGTAGTATCAGACTTATTCATATTTTGACATCATTTTTCCACCAGGTTCTTATCAATTAGAATAAGAATTAGGTTCTTATCAGATTCTTATCCTGCTCGCCATGTTATCTTTGGCGGTCCAACTGGTCTTCTCTGGCACCTCCAACTTTCTGGCCACATTCAGCACTCTGCTTTACATGACCATCGCGGTGTCTCATCATCAGGCACTCATCTAGAATTAGTTACAATGCTGCCCTCATACTGTAGCTTTTATTTCTTGTTTCACTTACTTATTTTTTTAAAGATTAAATAAAAATAAAGATAAAATTTTGTTTTCTTATTTAGCAAATAGTTTTGTCAAAATCCAGACAGAGGAGAAAATAAAAATAAATATTTTTAGTGAATGTCAAATAGGATGGAAATGCTTCAAATTTATATAATTAGAAAGAAATATACAGTACATATCTTATCATCTGAGGGCGTAATAAAAATGAAGTAAATCATCTTATTTTTTTCTGAAATTTCCACTTTTTCGTAAAATTTTATTTTTATTTGAAATCATCAATATTTGCAGTAGGCTGGTTTGATTAAACAAGGTACAGTATTTAAACATGTCTGGCCTTTAGTTGAAAGAAGGGGTGTGACCTGTCTCTTATACACATCTTTCTATGGAAAATTAGAAATTTGGGATGGGGACCAATGGCTGCAGTGCAGTCACCCAATTTAACTACAACATATGAGAGACACGTACAAATACAAACATTGTCCGTTAACCTACCAAACTCTCAATAAAAGGTGATCCAACAATCTCAACTGGTTTTGAATTGTGTAATGTGAATTATAGAGTAAAACAATAATATAGGAGGCATTAAAACAAAGAACATGTACTGAACATTCACATCATTTGTACAATTACAAAAACAAGTCTTTAAGATATTTTGCCAACAATACCTTTATCGTATTAGGAGTTTTGTGGTAACGTAATAATAGTAAGTCAAAATTCGCAATAATAATATAGTAAAAAGTATGCATTTTCTTATTGATTTTTGTGATGATTTATTTACAGTATGCATGTATGCATGGTTATTGATTAACTGACTGAATGATTATTGAGCAATAACACAAACACATTATTTAAAAAAAAATTTTCTGCTTGTTCTAATGATGTTTTGTAAGCTAATAGTTTATTATTTTCACATTTTCTACTCAATTAAGCACAAACAACCTGTGTTTTGTAGTAAAATTTTGAAATTGTATTTTGATAAATACACTAGGCAATCGTACTATTTTTTATAAGGGAAAAATTGCTGTGTTTAGTTTCAAAGTACAACAGCATTTAGCTATGCCTATGTGCCTATATTTTAGGCCTAATTGCCAAACATTACCCACCCCATTAATAAAAATGAAGTAAATCTTCTATTTTTTTCTGAAATTTCCACTTTTTCGTAAAATTTTATTTTTATTTGAAATCATCAATATTTGCAGTAGGCTGGTTTGATTAAATGTTAACGCTTCTTTTTTTTTTACAAGCTTATAGGTATCATTGATCACTTTACTTTCAACACTAGAATGACAAAAAAAAAAAAAAGAGAAAGAAAGACCAAGAAAGCAGAAATCTCCTGAAAATTAACCAATCTTAATACGTAAAATCATAATATATACATAATTTAGTAGTAGTAGTAGCCCAGGGGTGCCAAATCTCAAAGAGTCACAAGGATCGCCAGCAAAACAAGATGGCCTATGGCAATTCCCCAAGAAAGCAGAAATCTCCTGAAAATTAACCAATCTTAATACGTAAAATCATAATATATACATAATTTAGTAGTAGTAGTAGCCCAGGGGTGCCAAATCTCAAAGAGTCACAAGGATCGCCAGCAAAACAAGATGGCCTATGGCAATTCCCCAAGAAAGCAGAAATCTCCTGAAAATTAACCAATCTTAATACGTAAAATCATAATATATACATAATTTAGTAGTAGTAGTAGCCCAGGGGTGCCAAATCTCAAAGAGTCACAAGGATCGCCAGCAAAACAAGATGGCCTATGGCAATTCCCCAAGAAAGCAGAAATCTCCTGGAAATGAACCAATCTTGCGCAAATTCCTAATATTTACCTGTTTATACTACAGTACTGTAATTATCAATGGTCTCACGCAAGTCAGCTGCTGATGAGTATCACCATGTGCAGCTAAATAAAGTTACATGTGTTTTTAAGAAGCTCATTAACCAGATCTCCAGCAAGTGACTTCTTCCAACTTAGGACCCCTGAGTAGCTGTGTTGGTCTCAACTAAATCAGTAAAAAAATATATCAAACAGCACTTTTAATACACAAAATATAATTCATTGAACACCAAGCTTTTTCTTTATGCAATCAACTTCTTCAGGTTGCTATTTTAATATGTAATTTTTTTTTTTTTATAGTGCATATAATGGTCCCATGATTTCCAAGTTTAAGGATCATAATGATTTCTACTCGTATGTTAATATCAAAGGAATGGTCTTCAATGGAGATTGTGTATACTGGAAACCAATAAGAACAATTTGAGACAGGTATGTGTACAGACTCTTCCTATTCATGTGATACTGCAGTGTTTTGGGGTATAAGCACCTCTTCTATGCCTGCCCTTACTCTATAGGTTACATCTGATTTTATGTATGTTCCCCCCCCCCCCCCCCTTTCCCCCCCCCCCCAATCCCAATCAACAGTCCAGGTTTTGAATAAGAAGCTCAGTTGATTTTTTACAAATACTCTCAGGTAAAAAAAAGATCTTGCTTTTGATTTGTTCATGCAATGTTGAAAATTCGCCTTCAAATGCCCTTCCCTATAAAGGTGAAAAGGTTTTTATGAATAGAGGGTTTCTCGACTACCTTTCAATATATATTGACCAGGGGTGTGACTAGAGATGACATAGGAATGCCCAACAACACATCAAGTGGTCATTTCTAAACCTCTGGCAATAACAATACAAAATACAATAAAATGTATAATAGGACGGTACTATGTAATATGCAGGTTGTTGGTTTTATAACGAGATAATTATATACTCTCAATGGATTTTTTTTAAACAATGATGATAAAAATGTCAATAATAAATATTATACAGTGGTGGGGTTATTGTTATTTATTTATTTTAGGTTTTTGTTAATGATTTAATGGGTAAAGCATAAAGACCTTGTTTATTTTCACTATATAGTTCTACCTGTTAATATCACTATATGCAAATCAAAAAAATAAAAACATTTCAGTAGTAAGTTTCACTTAGGAGAAAAAAATCCTTAAAAATTGAACAACAAATTTATTATCAATTACATGTGGGTGCACTAAAGCATAGTGGTTATCTATTCTTTAATCTTTGTTTTTCTTCTTTTAAGAATTTTACTATACAAGAGACAGTTGAGATGCATTTATGCCACTAAATCCACCTAGTAGCCCTCAGCAAGGCAGAAGCCCTATTGGGTCATACAGAGACTTAGCAGTGGAGCCATGATCACACCCGGTAAGTTGATAGTAATTCACAAATTGCACTACTTCATCACTGGTAATGATAATAGTGATATACTTATAAGGCGCATAATATAAATTCGTTTCTATGTAAAAAAACCACAGCCCAAGTGCACATAAAAATAGAAAGAATTTTAAACAAAAAGCAAAAGAAAAGGAATCAAGTTCAGAATTAAAATAAAGAAAAAAGATGGTATTTGAGCCAAGAATTGAAGACAGTCAAACAGTCTCAGATAAATGGGTAACCAATGGAGACGATGTACAGTTTGGAAGTATCACCAACATTGAGCATCATTTGCACGCATTCGATCCTCCCCTAAAAAACTTGCACCTTCCCATTTAAAATGTTCAAGGCAAAGTATATCATGCTCAAGTAGATAAAAAATCACCTTATTTTTGTAAACTAACATTTCCTCACTTAAACGAGTCCTCCACTTCGCCACCCCCCCCCCACATTAGCCCCTTCCCCATTTCCAGACTAGATACACCACTGACTGTAGGAGATTTTTATACCGATATTAGATAGAATATTTAATAACAACAACAGTATTTTAATTGATAGATGAATAACCGATATGTCTTTATTAACATGTTATAGTATGCAATAATCTATTTTTTCTGATCTTCCAGCAAAAAACACAACCATCAACTTCAGAAGTTTTACACCAGAAGCAGAAAAATTCTGTTGCAGTGAAATCTATAGCGAGAAGCAGGGATTCGCTGGTTTCATATGGACCAATTAAAAGCCAGCAAGCCAAGCAGAGTACCCAGTTCACATGTCAGGATGAATGAGTCTTATTTCAATAGCGCCCTCTATGACAGTGTCTGGAGTGCAGTTGAAACATTGAATAGTGAAAGTAAAGAGGTAATAGAGCATCTGTTTTTCTATTTATATAAATTTGATTTATTTTGATGGACAAATTGAAAAAGCATCACAAAAAAAAAGCAGTCAAAATAAGAAAAAAAACAAACAATATATTTGAATGGCATAGTAATTATACTACTATACATGCTTCAACCTCAATTCTAATTGTGAATAATTCAGTAGTAAATGAACACAGATAAACCATAGAGAGGATAAACTAAGGATAAGGTTGTTTACAGTGAAGTAGTACTTAGATGTTAGGATAGCAGGGGTCCCAAGTCTCCTGGAAACCATGGAGTTTGAATTCGAGGATCAGCCGCTGTAGATCTCCCGGAAATTAGTTTTTCCATCTTTGAGGAGCCAAGCGATCAGACTCCTATTAAAAGCCACCGCTGGCCGGGTTTGAACCACGGTCTTCAGCACAAGAAGCAGGAACAATACCTCTGAGTCAACTGCTCAGCCCATGGGTCTTAATAGTTTGAATATCAATGGGATCAACAATACATTGTTCTTGTAAACTTCTCATCATCTTTATCAATAGTGAAGATGTTTGTATATATTTTTATTTTGTGCAATACCTTTGATAAAAAAAAATAAAATAGGAAAACCAAATGGGGTTCAACATACATTAAATACTGCAACTCAGTTGATAGAGCATCCACACAGTTATCACATGAGGCTAGTCGAGTGGCCGAGCGGTAAAACAGAAGAAACAAGTTGCCTAAAATTTTGCTACTACAAGATAATTAGAAACAATAATATAATGAATGGCATCATACTCAAAAGTGATGTGCAATGGGTAAATGATAAATTTTGTTGTGCGTAGGGTACTTTAGCAGGCGTGTGTATTTTATTTTATTAATTGTTTGATAAATCAACCTTAATTGCTTTGCCAAATGGTTCGTCCACAGCAAGTACCCGCTGTCGTCGCGCTCTTCTTCGCCTCCTCATGTTCACGGCGAAATCAAAGTTGGATTGGACAGTAAATCCATCCACATAACATCGCATCATTGTAGCCATAAGAGTGGCTAGTAGCATAGCTACATGTTCAATTTGTAACATTACCATTACAGTACAGTATTCAGAGAATTAAACTTCAATACAAATCGTTCCCGCGTATCGTTTAAGCAAGCAGAAGTAAGCAAAGAATGGGTTGATGGGATTGGTGTTTCTGAATGACCGTACAAAATTACTTCCGGAATAGTTTCGTTATTTATTTTTATTTACTTAACATGCATTAAATATATTCTTATTTTGAAATGAGCATTTAAGGATATTATTTTTATATTCTGTTATTATTCTTATTTTTATTTATTTTTTTATTTTTTATATAATTATATTATACTAATGTTTTCTAGCAACAGATTTTTTATTTCCGAAAGTAGATTCTTATTCTGAAATTAGCATTAAAGGCTATTATTTTAAAATTACTATTCTTATTTTTATTAATTTTTTTGGCAATTATACCCTACCACTGACTTGGTTGACTTAGTAGTACAGCCACAGGCTGTAGACGAAATCGAGTACCTCCTTGATTATAATAATTATAGGCAGTGGCTTACGTATCTTGGGGTGCGCGGGCACAATATAAATTTAATAACAACATTTAAATTGATTAAATTAATGACCAAGATGTATTTATTTACATATATATTATTCATGGTTTTTCGTGGTCTATCTTCCAGCAAAAACAATCAATTTCAGAAGTTTTCTTTGACAAGCAGAGAAATTCTTTTCCAATTGAAAGCACAGTGAAATCTATAGCGAGTAGAAACAGGGACTCGTTGGTTTCAGATGAACCAATTACAAGCCAGCAAGTTGAGCAGACTACCCAGTCCACATATGACAGCATGAATGATGAGTCTGATCTCAATAGCGCCCTCTATAATTATAGTTTCAGGAATGCACTTGAAACATTGAATAGTAACAGTAAAGAGGTAGAGCATCATTTTTTCTTTTATTTTAAAATTTGTGTGTATTTTGTTTGACAAAATTGTGGAATCAACTTAAATTAAAAGGGCATCACAAAAAAACATCAAAATCAAGTCAAAATAAAAGAAAACATCGAAAGTGTCATTAAATGGCATAGTAACTATCATTACATGCTTTAAAATCTCAATTCCTAATTGTGATAGTAAATAAACAGAGAAACCAATTATGACGGAGTTCACTAAATTTATTGATATCGAAACACATTCTAAAGGTGACAATCAAACAAAAACCAGAACACATGTTTTGAGCAAGGAGGCTCTGATATTAGCCACTGACCATCTTCAATTTTGTAAATAAGTACAATATGAATTAAAAAAAATGAAAATCGTTTGTCGACAAGCTCAATAAAGACACAAAGCTTTAAAAGAATTGTATATGCCCCGTATGTAAAATTACAACTTACAAAGCTAAATCATAGCACTGGCATATCTAAGTGGTAGAGGGAGGGGGCAGTTTTCACTCCCTCCCCATTGAAAATGAAAAACTATACTCTCAAGTAGATATAAAATCACCTTATTTTTACGAGCTAGCTCCCCCTCACTTAATCATCGATACCCCAAACTTCACATTCACTCCACCATCAGGCACCACCATTTCCAGACTCCTTGATATGTCATTGACCATAGGAGAACTTTACCAATGTTAAATACAATATGATTTATGTGTATGTATGTATTGATTAGATGATTTTCTGAGATGTCTGATTTACATGTTATATTATGCATTAGTCAATTTTCATATGTGGGGGGGGGGGAGGGCGTCGCAGGCCCCCCCCCCCCCCCCCAAATCAATAGCCCAGGTTTTGAACAAGAAGCTCAATTGACTTTCACAAATACTTTCAGGGAAACAAATCTTGGTTCTGATTTGATCTTGCAGTGTTGAAAATTTGCCTTTTAAATGCACTTCCCTATAAAGTTGAAAACCTTTTCATGAATAGAGGGGTTCTCCAAATGTATTTAACTACATATTGACCAGCGAGGTTTTTAGAGTTGACATGGGAAAGCCCAACAACACATCAAGTGGTCATTTCTAAACCTCTGGCCAATAACAATACAAAATAAAATAAAATGTATAATACTGGGGCGGATGCAGGGGGTATGCAGAGGGTGCGATCGCATCCCCCTAAATTGTATTAAGAAAAATAATTGTTGTATTATATTGTTGATATTGTGGCGGTTTCGGCCAAGCAGTCTCAGTCTAGTCTAAGTCC